CACAAGTCTGCTCTTGAAGATGCTCAGATCGATGGGGCTCTAGGAGGGGGTATTTGGAAATGAGTGGCCATGGATGAGACTGGGAAGGCCAGTGGGGGCCTGGAATGTCAACCCTGGGAGTGCGGTTTGATCCTCGGAACAAGAGGAGGAGCCATGGGACGGTGATAGGAAATGGAATTGCACTAGCCTTGGATAATTCAATCTTTCAATTTCACTTGGAAATGGAAACTTGACTTTCGGATCACCCTTATGTAATGGAATGAAATGATCCGATTTTCATTTTAGAAAATTCCCTCTAGCAGCTAAGTTGAGGATCGGAGGGTGGGAAGAGACAAGAAGCAGAAAGATCAGTGTGGAGGCCGCCATACACATCTAGACAAAAACTAGAGCGAGAAGTATTTTTAGACCTTGCTCTACAATAGGAATGGTAAAATGTAGCGTATATAACACCCCCCTGACTTTTTATTCTCATGGCAGACAGTACTAATCTCTCAGTGTTCTCCCTTACACTGGGCCTGGGGGGGCGGCTTCCACAGACAGTACCAATCCATCCGAGTAGGCACACTGGATGAAAGAAATCTGCCCTCTGGGCTCTGTTATATAAGGCAAGGAAAAGTCATCAGTTTTGAGAACATGCTTGCATTTGCTGACAAATGTCACTTCGGGTCTGCCACAACTTGAGGTTCTGGGAGTAGGACCAAGATGATGCCCTAAGTCAGTCTTTGAGGTCCTTGACCGAAATTGTGCCTCGCCCTGCTGTATGCCCTCCATACTCCCACTTAGAGCTTTTTCACATCCACTATCTCATTTCAACCGCACAACATTCCTGGAAGGTCAAGGTCGTCATCCCCATTTTACCGATGAGGAAACTGAGGTAAGAAACGTGCAGGAGCGCCCTCAAGTTCCACGGGTGGTAGGTGGCACAGCGGGGATTCACACCGAGGCCCGTCTGGCTTCAGAAGCCCTAGCTCCTTCCATAAGAAGCTTGTCCGGCTGCAGCAGCTGTTTGCGTCTGTCAGGGCCCGTTGCCAAAAAGCCAGAACAGGTTGGGACAACAGTGACTTTGGCATCTTGGCAACATCTCGGCAGCAGCGACTTCGCTTGTCAACAAAATCCTTGGCTGAAAAAGACCTGGGAAACTTGACTTTCGGATCACCCTTATGTAACCCGCTCTGCGCTGAGCCTTGGAGAAGGAAAGCTCTGGCCCCTGGGTGGGGGTGGAGGGGATCGCCGAGGGGGGCTGCACAGATGGTGAGGGGCGGAGGCCTCTGGCTGTGGAAGAGAATAAAGTTTCTGTCCTTGCACGGTTGGAATGAGGGCCCTGGAGCCAAGCAGTCCGGGCCAGGGCGGGGCCAGCCAACCTTTGGCACGTGAAATGCCACCCAGTGCTCATGGCAGATAATTCTCGTTAATAATGCATCCTCCCTGGCAGGCACGCATCCTGAAAGCCCTGTCTGTTCGTGCCTCATGGGGTCCCTGCTGGAATGTGGGGGGTCGAAGGGCTGGTCCCAGACGTGGGCAGAGTTCAGACCGGGCTGGGTAGGCGGGGCAGCATCTGGGCACTGCCTGGGGGCAGAGGGAGCCTTTGTGCTCTGTGCCCTAGGAACCCCACCCCCAGCGGCAGCCGCCCTGGGGAGACATGGCTGACACGCCAGGCCGAGGCCTGCTCTCTCTGTTCCCTCTCCTGCGGCAGCCAGGGCAGAGGATGCTAATCTGGGTGCAACCTGGCATCTGACAGATCCACCCCATTGTGCTCAAGGTGCTCTTTCTGAGTGGCGGGAGGGCGAGGGGCAGGGGGGGCCTCAACCCTGAACGCACAGCACAATCTGCTGGGGAGCTTTTAAAACACTGAATCTCAGTCCTCCGTCAGAGACTCTGGTATGTTGGCCCGTGGGGGTCCCTGGGCATCACCTTTTAACATTGCGCAGTGGCTCTGGAACGAGCTGAGGTTGGTACGCATTTTGAGAGGGTGACTCCTCAAGCTCAGCCACCCCCAGCTGTGTGACCTTGAACACATGAGGTAGCGGTGGGCGGCTCAGTTTCCTCAATTGTGAAACATGGACAGCGATAGTACTTACCGTGTGGGCTAACTGGAAAGATCCAAGGACATGCTGGAAAGACGGAGCACCACCCCCTGGCACAGAGCACACACCCAGACGTTGAGTGCCCAGGGACAGTTAGTTATTTTTATTTCTTCCTTTCCACACCAGCCAAGGGGGGAGTTTTAGGGCTTGAAACCAGGGAAGAAAGTGGAAAGGGCAGAGAGAGAGGACGTCCCCTTTTGAGGACGACATCATTAGGGTGACCAGGGGAGGCTCTGCTTCCACGTGGAGGCAGGCTGGGAGGTCCTGGTCCCTCCGTGGCTCTGGGAGAAGCCCACACTCCTTAGCAAGGCACGTGGAGCCCCTTTGAGATCTCCGCTGGCGGAGCACCAAGTGCACCCGGTGGGTGTTGTTGTCTGAGTCCCCGCCTCCCAGCAAGCTCGCAGGGCAGCTCGGTGCCCCCGAGGCCAGCACACAGGTGTCAGTCACGGTGGAGAGCCCGCAGGGCAGGACATGGAGAGCTGGCTGTCCCTCAGAGCAGCGCATTAACTGGTCACAAGGGCAACGGTGGCTGCCATTTCCTGAAGCCCACGTGTGCTGGGCATCACGCTCAGGGCTTACAGAATTGCACTAGCCTTACCACTGCTCCCCCTGGCGCGGGGTGCTGTCAACCACGCCGGTAAGGGTCAGAGGTCAGTCAGTCCAGCCCCCCAGCCCACTGAACTCTACAGCCTCGGGCCTCTGTTGGCCACCGAGCTGCCTGGAACGCTGAATCGGGACCCAGAGCCAAGTGCCTGTCTCGTCCAGCGCCGGGATGCTACAGCTTTCTTTGCCGTCTGAGCGTCTGGCTGCAGAGCAGAGCAGTGTTTAGGCAAGTATTTTCCCCCGAAGATGGGTTTTCTCATTTTTTTTTTTTAAGGTTTTATTTATTTATTTGTCAGAGAGAGAGCTTGAGTACAGGCAGGGGGAGCAGCAGGCCGAGGGAGATGCAGGCTCCCTGTGATGCGGGGCTGGATCCCAGGACCGCGGGATCATGACCTGAGCCGAAGGCAGACGCTTAACGGACTGAGCCACCCAGGCGCCCCGGGTTTCCCCGTTTTCATCCAACTGCAGGGTGGAGGGAGTCACTGGGAATATCCTGTCTGCTTTCCAGCCTTAATGATCCGAGATTGCAGTCCAGAGATTTCTGTGTGGAACCTGACTTATGCTGCACAAATTCATGAAAGAAGCGTGGCCCATCCAGTGGTAACATATTTGGAGCGGACCCTGTATGAACTTGCCCAAAGTTCTGACACAGATTGCCCGGTCATTTGCAGCCATTTGTTGGGGGGGGTCTCCTGGGTGCTGGTGACATGGTGGGGAAGAGCTCTGCTTTCATGGGGCTCTGATTCCAGTGAGGGGAGACAAACCCCAGGCAAGTACACGAATGTAAGTGCCCACCAGTGAAGAGACAAAAGAGCATGTTGTTGCGAGTTCTTGTCTCACGGAGTCCAAGAGTGAATCTCGGGGACAAAAGGGCAAAGTGAAGGGAAAGTTTATTAAGGGAAGGTGAGAACAGAAAGGAAAGAAAAGGAGCTCTCTAGAGCGAGAGGGGTCCCGAATGGGTTGCCACTGGGGGCGTTTATGGTCAGTCTTTTATAGAAAACTGACCAGGGACCTTGGTAAATATCTTGTCTATAACATTTAAGACAAGTGGATTTGTAAATATTATGAAACTGTCTCCTCTATATTTAGAACAAAGGGGATTTGTTATGTTCCCTTCTCTCTGGTTAATATCTTGTCTATAACATTTCTCCATCTGGGATTTCTGTGATCCTCGACAGGTGGCCCCCTCCCTGTCTCTCCCTACCTAGCCTCGCCTGTGCCTTACTCAATGTGACTGGGGCCAGCTTCAGACCCAGCCTTGAAGGATCGCTTCTCTGGGCAGGTGACATTTCAGCTGAGACCTGCATGGCCAGAGGGAGGCAGCCATGCCCAAGTGCAGGTACCAGGATAGCAGCCAGACGGAGCAGCTGATGCAGAGGTCGGAGAAGATGGGGCAGTGGGGAACAGGCAGGGCTAGGGCTAGCCAAGGGCCTGAGTGGAGAGGCCACGATGCAGATTACCCAAAGCCCGGCCATGTTTGGTCTGCTTGTGTCAGCTCCAGCAGGGTCTGCATGGTGAGAGGGACAGGGCTTATCAGCCCCTGCTAGCACCATGCTTCTGGTTGTCTGTCCTGGGGGAAGCGGGACCCTTGTTCTTGCCAGGGGCCACAGGGACAGGGCCCAGATCTGCCAAGGCTGGGGAGGGAAGGCCTAGCTGAATGTGTGTGCGTTTGTGTTTGGGGAAGTTGGTCTAAATCCGTGTCACCATCGGTGGCTTGAGAGCTCTTGAGAGGTACTTAAGCCACCAGGCGAAAGGCCCTTGAATCACATGGAGAAGCTATTCCCTCTAGTCCCATCCCTCTGATTACATCAAGGTCAATGTCCACTTGGTGTTGGTCTGTCCTTTATACCCCCTGACATTGGTAATCTGGCTTTTTGCACGAAGAACAACTGGCCCAGGGATCACAGGCACAGTAACCACCAGAAACCAATGGTGCTGCTTGTTTTCAAAAGTGTCCCATCCCAGCCACCTTGCATGGTGGTCACTGACTTTTTTTTTTTACTATTGTAATATTCCTCCTTTAAAAACTTGTTTTTGCTAACAGCTTATTAAACTTCCCTTTGAAATAAAATTATTTTAGTAAAAAGAATGAAATCATCTGAAAGAGAAACCGTAAAGCATACTGAAGATGGTCAAGGGGAACGGCAAAAGTCATGAAGAAGGTCTGTACAGGAGTGACAAGTTTGGGAAATGTGGGACTAAGATGCTCAAGGCCCATCTCCTCGGTTCCACAACACTCTTTTTCCCAGGAAATGAAATGTTTGTGTTATGATAAGGAAGCAGACCACAGCACTTATTCAAGACTTTCAAATGGAAATTTGATCATGTCTTTATTTAGGTATATGCCACCTTGTTGCAAAAAAGGTATTGTGGCAACTTACAAACATAGATAAAATACAATGGAGTAAAAATAAACAGATCTGGGTAAAGGTTAAAGCAGAAAGCTAGAATGAAGTCAGAGTCCAGTTGGTGACTCAGTACAATTGTTAAAAGTAATCTCAAATTTGACTTTGAGGTTCCCAGCGGCCAAAGCAAAAGAGAAAACACGACTGTCACAAGATTTCTAGTAACAGTGAGTTTGGGGCTTTGGCATAGACACACACCTGGTTCAAATCTTGACTCTACTACTTGCTAGATTCAGGACCCTGAGCAGGTTGCTTAACTTCCCTGAACTTGAGGTTCATCACCTGTCAGGAGGGAAAGCAATGCCAACCCTGGGGATTCCTGGGTGCATCAGTGAGAATGTGTGTCCAGGTGCCTTCTAGCTCTGGGAGGGTGCTGCTTGGGTCCTCAGCTGCCCTTAGTCCTCCCTAAGCTGTAGGTCTTCAGCCATAAAAGGGAGTTGACATCTGTCTCCTCTGTCAGTCCCTACCCTGCCCAAGCATGCAGCATGGAAGAGGCTGAGCCAGATCCCAACAGGCCTCCCTAACTCCTACCCAGGCTGTCTGACAACCATCCGGTGCTGTGTTCTCCTGTCATCAGAGTGGTTTCCAATGTTGTCAAGGAGAACATGACGCTTTGGAACACAGAGGCTTTCAGGAACACTCAAATGATTCCCAGGAAAACCCCAGCCTCACTTTCTGGGCCGCCTCCAAGGCAGAGGCCCCCTTCTCTCCTCCGCAGACAGAGCAAATTAAATGTCAAGGCCTAGAAATCTCTAGGGGGAATCCAAGGCAGCAGCCCAAGCCCCTTCATATGTTCAGAACACCAGAGACAGCTTCCTTTGCCTTCACATCCAAGGTCAATAAGAAACGCTGGTCCTCCCCAGTCCAGGTCCTTTCTTATTTGAAGTACCTGTGGCCAAATGCAATAAAGTCCATGACAGAAACCCATCCCTGCCTCCCATGAGCAATGGAATCAATTCCAATTGTCTTAGAATTTTCTTTTCTCTGTTAACTTATACTTGACTTTGTTCCAAATGTGATTGGAGGCAGTCTTTGGCTTGGCATTCAAGGCTCTTTACAGGCTGACCCCAACTTCCTTCTTGGGTGTCCTTTCTGGATGCAGCTTGTGGCCTGGTGACACTTCTGGAGCTGCCCTTGGAGTGCCATGCAGTTGGCAAACAACATGGACTGACCAGCCCTCAAACCCCGATCTGCCACAGACTAAGCCACGGTGTGACCTTGGGTAAGTCCCTTCACCTCAGTTTCTTCATCTGTAAAATGGGCACATTCCAAGTATAGACCTTCCCTGTTGTGACGAAGCAAGAATATGCACCCTGCATGCGTGGCCCACTTGATGCTCAGTCAGTGGTGATGCTTAGATGACCTGATTTTGAGACCTGGCTCCCCATTTAACTGCTTTCATGACAAGTGACCCACGTCTGGGCTCCAGTTCGACTATCTGTAAAGTGAGGAAAATAGCTACCACAAAACCCCACACACTAAGGCCTGAAAACAGAAGGGGCTTAGTGAAGGCTTGGAGGCTGCAGCCTGCATCACCGCCCCCCCAAAAACAATTTTGCTCGTCCTTCCATTTTCCCAAATCCCATCCTTTCTAACTTTCCTTTTTCTCAACTACTGAGCAAGAGGAGTCTGAACACTTCTCACATGGTTAGGCTGTGATATCATGAAAGACACAATCTTGTAAAACCCACACCCAGGGCCAAGGGAAATGCAGCCCCCTGAAGAGACTGTTCGGTGGAGCCCGCCGACGGTTGGGTGGGGGAGGCTGGATGTGTCCACCACTATGAGTCAGGCCTTGCTTGGCTGGCTATCCTCATTCCCCTCTATTTCAGGGGTGAGTTCAGCTTAAACAAAACATCACCTGACCATGCCCGAAAGAGACGTCTTCTGCACAAAATGCTTTTCCTTACACTCTTGGGTATGCAGCTGGGTGTCCAAATATACAGATATGCAGGAGTTGGCATGGGGACAGATGAGGGGAGCAGGGTCAGGGGGTGGTGTAGGGATCAACAGTAAATACTCTCAAAGGTGTTGGGATGGATTGGGTCCTTGGGAGTCTATGGCCTTCCCAGGCAGAGCTGCCTCTAAGCCGGAAGAATAAAGGAAATAGACAAAGCCCTTCTGGAAGATCAGCTGTGTCCTGTTCCCCAGCATGGCCCCAAACTACTCTCTAAACCTCTCTGGGGGCTTCTTTCTCCTTTGGTGAAACAGGGAGTTAGACTGGTGAACTTCCTAGCTCTGAAAATACTACCCAAAGCAGATGAGGGGAAGGCTTTAAGGTCTATGTCCTATGGGCTGCCTGGGTCTGAGGCTCAGGGGGGTCACCAGCAGCACCAGGAGAGACGGCCCACCTGTGCATCCTCAGCCCCAAGGCCCGGGTTCAGGGTGGTCCTGGCACCAATAACTCTGAAGCCTGGAAAAGCCTGGTCCACACACCGCCTTCTCCTTCCTTCCCAGCTTCCATCCTCTAGCACCTCCCTGCAACCATTAGGTCCAATTCCTCCCCTGGACCCAACCGCTCAGATCTCAAATCCCCCCCAGCGCCCCCCCAAAATAAACCACAAAAAATCTGCTGGGTCATTCCACCAAATGACCGGGTCAGGACTGACAAGGAAGAGGGAATCTGTTTCATCCTGGCACCACCCCAGACCTGTCCAGGGTCTTGCTCACAGCAGACCTGAAGGTATCCCTGAGTACATCTAAGCTGTGGGTTCAAAGGTCCAGAGAGAAAGGACAACATGGACCCCAGGCCCCAGGGCTCTGGGAGGGGCTGAGGACAGGTCCCATGGCCTAGGTATGTAGCCAAAGCCGGCACTTCTGGGTGGAGAGGGGGCCTCAGGGCCTGGCCCAGCTCCCCACCCTGGTAGAGTCGGGTCTGGCAGGCAGCTGCCGGCGGCCTTCTCAGCTGCTGCTGCAGAAACAAATGACAGCACTGAGGAGGAATAAGAGAAAATAAACATGAATACAGAGGGAGGGGAACTTGGAACAGGGGCTGGTATTTTTCCTCGGGGTGCGGTTTCTGCTCAGTGGCTGGGTGACCATGGAGGTTTGGAATGTGGTTGGACAGAGGGTGAGGGGGGGTGGGGGGTGGCCAAAGGCAAGGAGCAGGAACATTAGCCAGGGGCCTGAAGCCCAGGGCCACCAACAGTTCAGCCAGAACGGGGGCCGGGGGTGGGACGCAGCGTGCCACATAGTGCGGAGATTCCCGAGGCCTCTGCTTTTGAATGGCCCCGGGGGTAAGGGAGACAGAGTTGAGAGAACAAGAGAATCTAGAGGAGTAGGGAGAGGCCTGGAGGTGAAGGTGAGCACAGTCAGGTCTCCTCATCTGTAAAACGGGGCTGTTGTGACGGCATGGCCTGCCTGATCCAAACTGAGGCTATTCAGGCAAGGGACATGGTCTCTCTGGGCCTCAGTGTCCTCATCTGTTAAATGGGCTTAATTATCCCTACCTCCGGGGGTGCTACTGGGAGGACTGAATGGGTTTGTGCATGTGAAGCTCTTGGCATGGTGCTCTGCAAGTGGAAGGGATTATTAATCCACTGGGTGCCAAGGAAGCTTTATCCTGGCTGCGCCACGTGCCTAGCACCTGCCCCGGGCCTGGACCCCCATCAATATGTGCTGACGGAGCCCCCTGCAGGAGTTGCTGTGGGGGAGCCACGCCCACGGCCACTCCTCTTCTGTGAGCGCCGGTCCCGGCTCAGACCACGAAGTGGAGGGTGTAGGTGAGCTGGTGGCCGTTGTCCCAGGCGTACAGCATGCGCTCCTTGGGGTTGTAGTCGATCTGGGTGGTGAAGGCGTGCGCGTTGAGGAAGGGCAGCTGCGGCCGGGCGTCAGTGCCTGTGTGCGTGTCGAAGGCGTAGGCCACCTGGCCTTCCTTCTGGTTGTACGTGTCCACGGCGTACAGGATGCCGCACACCAAGAAGCAGTTCCCGTAGGAGTTCCGCCGCAGCCGCGTCCTCCACGTGGTCTCCCGGTGCATGGACAGGTCGCCGGGGTCCAGGCGGCTCAGCACAATCACCTCGGGCTGGGCCTCGTCCTGGTCATCCGCGGCGGGGTAGATGACCCACAGGCCGCTCTCGTCCACGGCGAAGTCGATGTCCGAGTGGCCGCGCCACTTCCAGGGCGTCGTGTCCTCGTAGACCACGTCGGGCAGCAGTGCCCAGGAGGCCACGAAGCGCTGCCGCAGGTCGTACTTGATGATGTTCTTGGTGAAGGCGCGGTTGTAGTAGAAGGCGCCCTGGAACACCACGTGGCCCGTGCCGATCCAGCTGTACGGCAGCTTGTACATGTTACTCCAGCGGCCTGTGTGCGGGGCAGATGCTCACACCGGGGCCGGCGCGCCGGCCAGGCCACCCGGGGCTCCCGAGTGGCCCAGCAAGCAGGGGAGACCGAATAGGCTATGGGCTCGGAGCTGGGCCAATCCTCTTACCCCCGACCACCGCGAAGCAGGTACTGTCAGCATCCCCCTTGCCAAGGAGGAAACAGGGTCAGAGGGTTCAAGGTCACCCAGTTATGGAATGGCACAGCCGGGATTTAGACAGCCCCAGGGCTCTGTCTCAGGGCCTTTGCCCAGGCTGTTTCTTTTGTCTGGACTGCATTCCCAGTCCTGTCTGCCTGGGGAATGCCTCCTTATCTTTCAGAGCCCTCCACCAATACTACCTCCTCCTGGAAGCCTTCCACCACCTCCCCGGGCTTGAGTGAGGGCCTCCCCTCTGGCCTCCCATCACCCTGCTCTTGGCACTTTTCAGTGGCTTCCTCCACAGCAGCCTATGAGCCGCCTGAGGCAGGCATCAGGTCAATTTTGGACCTGGCAGAGGAAGGACTTTGGCTGTTCCAGGCCATACCCGGTGACTCCAAGGCTCTCAGGATAAATCCAAACTTCGATGTGGCTCCCGAGGACTGCCTGAGCCTACTCTCTCCTTATGCTTCCCCCACCTCCCTTCTAGGCCATTCTGCTTCTCATTGCCGGGCCTTGGCACACACTGGGCCTTCTGCTTGGAACACCCGGCCCTTTCCGTTTTCTATGGCTTCTTCCCGCTCTTCCTCCAAAGCTCAGCTCAACATCACCTCCTCCTCTGGGAGGTCTTCTCTGATGTCCAGGCTTGGGTTCCACAGTCCCTTGAGCTTTCCCTCAAACACTACACTGAAGTTATTTCCTTAGGTCTTTGCCTCTGGCTTCAGACCGTGCATTTCTGGAGGGCGGGTGAGGCCTAAATGACCCCTCCCCCATCATGCCCCAGATCTGATAACCAAAATTCTGCCCTTCCCTGCCCAGACTTGCAGCTCCTCTAAGGCCTGGGGCTCTGCTCTCCTGTAAAACAGAGTACTGACCCCACCCCCCATAGAATTATGAAGCTACCATGAGCTGACGCACATGGCGTGATTAGCACATAATAAGTACTCAAGAAGAGGACACCCTAAGTGTTGTTCCTCTTGACAATAAGTTACGCTCCTGAGGGCAGGACCTTGCCCATCTTGTTTGTTGCTGCATTCCCGCTCCTGGCTCCATGCCGGCACATAGGGGGTGCCCTCAGATGCCCCTCACTGGGGTGGCTGATCATGTGGAGCTGGACCAGGCTGGGACATTCCGGACCACAGGAAAGCACAGGCACAAGAGGGCCCAGTCTCCGTGGGAGACCCTCCTCAGGCTGCCCACCCCCTGCCAGTCTCCGTGGGAGACCCTCCTCAGGCCGCCCACCCCCTGCCCCCTTCCCAACTTCCAGCTCTCCAACCTTGCTTGAAGTTTTCCAGATTGCGGAACTCCACCAGGCTGTTCCCGTAGTAGTAGTTGGTGACGTAGATCCTGTCGTCTTTCGCAGCAGGGTCCTTCATCCAGGCTCCCTCGTGGCGCCCGTAACTGTGGTGCCTCACGGGGGGGTCCACGGCCCGCAGGGTGCCCTCACAGCTCGTCTCTCTGCCTGTGGGGGGCAAGGGGAGCAGCACTCGGTCCTCAGCCCCACAGGCCCCGGAGCTGGAGCAACAGTCCAGGAACGTTATCTGGGTCTTACTTAAACCCCTCCCGATATTTTGTTTACAGCCTTTTTTTTTTTTTAAGATTTTATTTATTTATTTGAGAGAGAGAGAGAGAGAGAGTGCAAGTGGGGGGAGGAGGGCAGAGGCAGCAGGAGAAGCAGACTCCCCGCTGAGCAGGGAGCCCGATGTGGGGCTCGATCCCAGGACCACAACCTGAGCCGAAGGCAGACACTTAACCGACCGAGCCACCCAGGCGCCCCATATTTGCAGCCTTTTTTCCCCTTATGATCAAAGCAATGTCTGATCAATGTAGAAAACAGAACATTCAGCAAAGGAGAATGAGGAAAATAAAAACAATGAAAAATGTCAATATCAAAAGAAAAATTTAAATATGTTGTATTTCCTTCCATTTTTTTTCTTTGTATATACAGTCATGCAGACATACTTTTAAAAACCATGGTTCTTCTGAATATACAATTTTATGTATCCTGTTTTTTCCCTCCACTGAGCAATTTCTCACATCATTAAATGGCTTTTAATGATGTGATTTCAAGGCTCTACCAAGCCACCAGACAGCTGTGCCCCAGTCCCCTCGGTGTGAGATCTTCAGATTATTTCCAGTTTTCTGATGTTGGAAATGGGCTGGGGGTGAGGGGCAGGTAAGCTGCAGCTGCTGTCCACATTGCTGATGGACCCTTGAGGAAAGATTCCTGGAAGTGGAATGCACCAGGACCGAAGTGGGGAACGGATTTAACAAGACCTTGTCGTCACAGGTAGCCAAGATACCCTCCAGAAAGATGGGCTCGATGATTTAATGGGAAAGATCTCTACCAAAAGACACAAGCCAAACGTACAAATGTGGACAGAAAAAAGTAAAGAAGTGGGAACAGTTGCTGGATTTGATGATGGGATTCTAGGTGACATGTTAGGAAGGATTTGTTGAAAATACTACCTGTTTTGACTATCAGTGTCCTCAAGCTTTCTACAAAGGATCAGACAGTAAAGATTTTAGGCTTTCCAGACCACATACGTCTGTCCCGTATTCTTTTTTTCACAACCCTTTAAAAATGTAAAAACCGTTCTTAGCTCAAGGGCCATAGAGAACCAGGCTGCAGGCTGGATCTGGCCCATGGGCTGTACCCTGCTGACCCCTGTGAGGCTTACTCACCTTGGCTTGGGACATCTGGGTGTGAAGGTGGCTCTGTGGGCTGGGGCCGGGCGGTGGGAGTCAGGGTGGGGGTGGGGACAGGGTCGGAACTGAGAGTGCCAGAGGCCAGGTCCGCTCCCTCTGAGGCCCTGGGCCCAGCCTTGTCATGTTCCGCTGAGTTGGGCTCCGGTGACCTGCCCTCCACCCTGGGCGGCCGCTGTTCTAGCCAGGAAGTGCTCTTGAGGGCGTTGTCTGCGGAGAGAGGACCCTGTGCTCACGTCCCGTGCGGCTGCCCACGGTCCTCCCCAGGCCCGCCCACCTGGCTCCCAGCTCTGGGGCCATGGCAGAGAGAAGTGGGGAGGCCCTGAGGAGTGAAAGACCTCCACAAGTGGGCGGTGGGGAGGCTTTGTGGTCAGCAGACCGGCTGCAAGCCCCCCAGCTGAGTGACCTCAGCCGAGTCCCCTGCCTTGGTGGGCCTCAGCCTCCCCTTCTATGAAACGAGAGTCATAAGGTCCACCATGTTAGGCTGTTGTGTTGATTAGAGGAAAATGTATACACATCATTTGCCCAGGTCCCGGCATGCATGAGGTGCTGAACATGAGACCCCTTCCCTCCTAAGTGTCAAATACTTTGTCCCAATTCTTTCCCGTCCCAGATTCAACTCTAGGAGGGAGACACCCTCGCTCCCATTTTACAGACTTTTTTCTGCTGGTCCTCTCCTCTGGAACCCAGCCGACAGCTCCTCTCACCCAGCATTTGCCACTTTAAGCAGGGAGGGGCAGGGGCAGCCAGCCTCCCGTCACCTCTGGACCCCAGGTCTCTGTCTCTCTGCCCCCTCACTCAGCTCCTATCTCTGATCTCGAAGCTTTCTGGGCAGGCCCCCCCGCCCCCATCTCGCTGGCAAAGCCTTTGCTGATGGGATGACTTTTTCAGCTCCCGTGGGACCTGTCTGGGGCCATCTCTGGGTCATCCCTGACCCACACACTTGTCTGGGCTGGGCTGGATGGGGTCTGGGTAGGAAAAACAGGAAGATTCAATGCCACACAGCAGGGGACAGAGCTGGGGTGGGGTCTCAGGCTGGCTCTGTAGCCCACTGAGCTGGGTTCCTGTCCCACCAACTTGCTGTGAAATCTGGAGCCAGTCTCTTCACCTCTCTGAGCTTGTTTCCTCATCTGGATCAAGTCCAACAGGGTCTGTGAGAACCCACAGAAAACTGTGATGCCAGGGACAAAGGAAAGGGGATGGTGTGGCCCCCAGGAGCTGAGGCCCCTTGATGCCAGGACAATTACCTGACTTCTCTCATTTTCTCTCCCTGCCAGCCTTCCTCTTTGCATAGGGTTTAGCCAGGCCCTGTTGTAGGGCAGCCCCTGGGGTCTCTTGGGAATGGAGCACACCCTTTGGCGGGGGTGGGGGGCTGGCCTTGGCAGCCTGCCAGGGCCAGGGCCTTGTTCCCACGGGCCTCGCTGGCAGAGCCAGCTGCTTGCAGCTGTCCTTGGGCAGTGCCCAGCCAGGGGTCAGAGGTGCTGTACTGTGGCCAGGAGGAGCTAGCAGGCCTCACAGCCAGCAACTACCCCCGGGGGGTCTGGGAAGAGGCCCCTGAGCCTTGAGAGGCCAAGAATTTAGGGGGGGCTCTTGAATTCCACCTCCTGGCCCCTTGGACATGGGGTGGGCAGAGGGCCTCACTGAAGGAGGTGGTCAGCAGGATCCAGGGTGGGGGAGCAGGCTTGGGACACCTCTCTGGGGCATGAGAGGAGAGCAGGCGTCTGGGGAGGGCCTCAGAGGAAGAATCAGGAGCCACACCAGTGGGGACGGCCTAGAACTTTGGGTACTCCAGGGACTTTTGTCTCTTGAGGGTTTGGGTTTTTTTTTTGGTTAATTACTTGGTTGCCCTTCAGTGTGATCCCCCATGGATTGCAGGAAAATTTCATATAGGACTCTGTGGGCTCTCCTTTGGGAAAATAAGAAGTGGGAGGCCATCCATTGCAAGGCTACTCTGGAAATACGAGGTGCTCTGAAGACCCCCTAACACTTCCCAGAACCCTGGCCTGGCTCCAGCCCCTGGGGATTCCCACCCCACCTGTGGCCGCTGCCTGGTCATGGGTATGTTTTTTCCCACTGGACTGTGAAGTCTATGTTAGGCAGAGTCTCTGGGAGATATGGCATGTACATAGTGGACCTTCAGCAAATCTTTGAATGAAGAAGGAAAAGTCCAATAAGGGCAGAGATAGCGGAAAATACTGGAGAGGAACCGAGTGGCCCTTTGTGTTGATTCAATCATTTCATCCCCAACAACCCCACGAGGGGTACTATCTCATTGTGTGGATGAGCCAAGGGCACCAACAGGTAACCAGGAGAGCTGAAATCTGGGGCAGTTTGACTGTAGAGAAGACACTGGATCCCCGCAGGTGATCCTTGCTTGGGATGCAGCCATCCAGCAGCAAGCCCCCACTCCGCCGGGGTCCAGTCCTCCGCCAACTCACCGGCCACGGCCTCAGTCACCTCCTTCCCGCCCGCCTTGTAGTAGGTGATGCCTCGGATTATGGCCTGCTGCTGGGTCAGGGTCCGGGGCTTGGCTGTGGGTTGGGGGAATCTGCTCTTGCCGCCCTCCTTCCTCAGCTTCTCCACCTTCAGCAGCTTCTCCTTAGGAGGTTTTGTGAGGCCCCTGTCTGCAAAGGTCTTCTGAACGTTGACGTATTTGTTGTTGTCTTTGCCTTTCCCTCCAGCTGTGTCCTGAGAGAGAAGGGAAATCTCAGACTTAGGGGCGGGGGAAGGGGTGTTGCGGGAGGTCATGGAGGCTCAGCTTCGCGGGGGGGCTGGAAGTGGTCACGTTGCTCTAGGCCCTAGGTGTCAGGTGCTCGTGAACTCACAGCTTTCCTCCCATAGTGGCTACATCCATGACTGGGCCGTGCCTCAGTTTCCCCACTCAGCTCTCCAGCTCCCCTGCAGGCTTGAAGCCCAACCTGATAGGTTAAGTTCCTGTTCCATTTCCAAACCCCTGCATACTCACCCCCGGGGGTAGATTATAATGGTTAATTCCCTAAGGAGGTAGCTGCTCAGGAGGTCAGCTTCTCATCCCTGTCTCTCTCTCGCTCATGGGTCTTTCTTTGTGGGCAGGGGCGAGGTTCTCAGGCTCCAAGGCAGGGTGATCAATCCATCGCAGTGTGCCTGGAACTTTCCCAGTTTCCGCACTGAAAGTCCTGCGTCCCGGGAAACCCTTCAGTCTCAGGCCAACTTGGACGGTTGGCCACCGAGGCCATTGTCCTTAGCGCATGCAGTTAGTTTCTTTCTTTCTTTCTTTTTTTTTTTAAGATTTTATTTATTTATTTGATAGAGAGAGACACAGCGAGAGAGGGAACACAAGCAGGGGGAGTGGGAGAGGGAGAAGCAGGCTTCCCGCGGAGCAGGGAGCCCGATGCGGGGCTCGATCCCAGGACCCTGAGATCATGACCTGAGCCGAAGGCAGACGCTTAACGACTGAGCCACCCAGGCGCTCCCAAGCATGCAGTTTCTAATGTCCTGTAGATTTCATTCTCACTTCCTCTTAAAGGCCTCTGCTGCTCACTTGGCACAAGAACAAAGGCCCTGTGACATCACCCACTGTCAAGCAGAATCTCCAGGAGATACAGCAAGTGCAGTCTCTAGACCTGCCGTGCTGTGGCCCAAACAGCATTCATTTGCGCCTGTGGACTTGACACGGGAACGAGCAGGAAGCCTGTCCTGGGCCACAGGCACCAGGCTTCCTCCACGCTTTATCAGCAACGAGGCGGTCCCGGCCGCAGACACAGATGGGCACAATGTCAGCACAACATCAGCACGGGGGGCCAGGAGGTGGGAGAGGAAGAGCCCGGGCTTGTCAGTCACGCAGATGCAGGTTCCAGTCCCGGCGCGGCCACCCTCTCCCCACGGGGGGCCTCACTCTAGGCTTCCTCATCTGCCCAGCGCGCAATGATTGTCCCTCCCTTGCAGGTGGCTGTGGGATTAACTGAGATCATGTCTGTGAGCAAGTCAGATTTAGACTTTAGAAATCAGATTTAGAGGCTGTCAGGATCCCCCACTCTAAACCGCAAGGCTGCTGTGGGGAATGGAGCGGCTGTGTCCTGCCTGAGGGTGACTGGCCTAAGGGGCACAAATGACACTGAAATCCAGTCTGTACTCCCATTTGCCAAGCCACACCCCCTAGGGTGTATCTATCATAGGAAGGAGCCTCTGTCCAATTTGCCCACCTATGGGGGGCTTCTCTGCATTTGCCCAGAGGGACAGCCTTTTAGGCAATTTTCGAGAGGAGGACCTTTTACAAATGTGCATAAAGGTGTATTATAGATCTTGGGTGGCTCTGCCTGGTGTCCCTGCTCACTCTGTGCTGAGCTTGAACACGGAATGTCTGGGTGTTATGCTGCAGGAATTCTCCACCCCAGATTGGGTTGATGAAGTGGTGTTAGTCTGCAGGGTCCCCAAGGCATTGCCCACCTGCCCCTGAGCAGGCAGGACCCGGCCAGGGGCCCAACCACACTAGGGGAGGCTCGAAGTGGTTTCGCTGCAGCCAACCTGGTTTCCCAGGGCCAGGCAGGGAGGGTCATCTCTACAGTTTTGTCTCTGCTAGTTTGGGGATGGGAATGAGAACACCGCCAGATGCCTTCCTCAGCAAACAGAGCCCTCAGCTGGATCCCCACATCTGTTCCCAGCTTACCTCTGTCAACGGTGCTCGCTGCACTGCAGGCCCCTGCCCCCCACCCTGTCAGGGACTCTCCAGCTGTGCTAGCCCTCAGCCCTGTCCTGTGACCCCAAACCCCCACCCGGCTGGCCCTCGGGACTGAGGTCCTGGCAGACTGTGTTCCCAAGCCCACCCACCTTCGGGCCCCATCGCCAGGGCCACGGCCTCACCTGAGCCTTGCTGGCAGGGCCGGGTGCTGGGGCAGCGGCCGAGGCCGGGGCTGCGTCCTTCTGCAGCAGCTGGAGGCCCAGGCTGGAGAGCTCCTTCTTGATGCCCATCATGATGGCCGAGTGATTCTCATAGCGCTTCAGCTGCTCGCTCAGGTGGCGCATGCTCTCCTTCACTACCTCGTTCTCCCGGCTCAGGTTCAGCTTGACGTTCTGTGGGGGCAGGACTCCAAGGTCTTTCTAGCCTCCTCTGACAGCCACCCCCCATCCCCCTGGAGGGGGACACCCCAGCTTCTGCCGTCAGGCTTCAGGGCCCAGGCTCCTGAGCGGGGCCCAAGGGGACAGGTGCTGCGTGGTGGCACTCACAGCCACGCGTGGATAAAGCGTGCTGCCAAGAGACCACGTAATGATCAATGATTACTAAAAAGTGAATGAGTGATGTTGTTCCTTTGGGCAGAGGGAGTCAGTTCCTCCCGAGTGAGGCTGTTTTCTCCACCTCCACCCAGAGTTAGCAATAAGCCTATTTTTTTTTTTTTAGAGTTATCATTTAGTGAACAGAAGCAAAGCACAGATAATGCAAAACAGAAGATAATTAAAAAATCATTTCTTTGTGGCTTCGGAAATCATTTCTGATTTGTTCCAGCCACTGCAGACATACTCTCCAGATCGTCTGGCTCTTGGTTACATGACGTGAGTTAACATTTCCTAAGATTAGAGGAGGAAGGGTCACAGGGGGATAACTGCAGAGCTAGCGACAGGAGAGTCCGGCATCTACTAGGTGCACAGAAAGTACTGGTGCATGGTAGAAGTCCAACAACTGGTAACCTTACTCCCATGCTGGCAAGGGCCTTACACCTAGGAGATACACACCAAACACTTCTGGATAATTCAAGCCACTGTGACCCCAACTTTGGGGAGAGTAAGGGGTTAATCTCCCACCCTGGGGCACAGGATGCCCAGGTGCCCCCTCCCTCCGGAAAGGAAGCTGGGAAAGGAAGCCCCCACACCCCGCTCCTGGCAGCTGCATGTCCCCAGGCTCCCAGCAGCCTAGCAGGGGCCGGATGCAGGAAACAGGCGGAGGCCCGGCCCGTGCCAGCAGAGATGCATGCCAGCAAACCTTGAACCTGCAGCCTGGACCCCCATGATTGCCCAACTCTGTCGCTGCCCTCAGGGGGCAGTCCTGGCCACCTGCCTAGCCCTCTAGCACATCTGCACTGACCAGAAGACGCTCGGCCCCTCAGCCTCCACTGCAAGTGGGGCCTGGGCCAGCCATGCTGCCTTAAGCCCTGCCCCAGTGAGCTTGGCCAGTCCTGCACTTTTATGTGGCATTTTATGTGACCGGTGGCCTTGGAGTTGTGTCATGTGTGAGTCCTGGTCTTGGTGGACTGAGGGCCACTGCAGGTTCCTGCCAGCCCCCTCCACATCCCTTTCAGACAATCAGCTGGTGCCTCAGTTTCTCCACCCAGCCTTCCAGCCTTCTGTAGGCCCATGAGCCCCAGTGAGACCCCTTTTCCAAAGTCCGGACCCAGAGGCCTGTATCTCCCTCTCCCAGCTCCCTGCTGGACTCCAGTTTTCAGCAGCCACCAATGTAAGGCAGAATGGCCCAGGCCCGTTCCGGCACAGCCCCTGGCTCCCAGTGTTGACCCAGCCTGGCTCCTGGGCAGAGCTCTGCCCTTACCTCTTCCAGCGTGTTCATCTGGGAGGCCACCTTGTGGACATAGGCGTGCACTTTCATCAGGTCCATGCTGTACAAGGTGCCCTCCAGGAGATCCACCATGGACTGGAGCTGCCCGGGAAAGGGTGAGGGGTCAGGGCAAGGGCAGAGCACAGGATTAGGCACAAAGGCTGCAAAAGGAGCCCCACCACTTGCAATGGCCTGCGTGGGCCCTCGGCACCCACTAGACCCAGCTTGCTAGTACTCATCGTGGGAAAAGCCACAGATTCCATCTTTTGAGCACTTACGACACGGCAGGCCCTGTGTAAAGGGCTGTAATGAGCTGTTTCACTTTGTCCTCGTGACAACCCCACGAGGTGTGTAGTGGACACTAAAGGAGATCAGTCTGCATGGCCTGGGATCCCTCTTTCTTGTTTCTTGTGCCCATACCTGGTTTCCATGTGCCTTTATTTTTATTTATTTTTTTAAAGATTTTGCCTATTCATTTGACAGAGAGAGACAGGAGAGAGAGAGAGAGCACGCACAAGCCGGGGGAGCAGCAGGCAGAGGGAGAAGCAAGCTCCCTGCTCAGCAGGGAGCCCGATGCGGGACTCGATCCCAGGACCCTGGGATCATGACCTGAGCCAAAGGCAGACGCTTAACCGACTGAGCCACCCAGGTGCCCCGTGTGGCTCCTTCTTAACAGCCTGCATCTGTGACTCTTCCAAGAGATGCTGTGTCCCCAAACTGCCTGGGAGAGTATGTCCTCCTGGGGCAGTCCTTCGGCAATGCCTGACAGGTGCAGGCATCCAAAGGCCCAGCTCCCTAGCCCCAGTGGGGACAACTGAGCTGTCATTCACACTCCGCGTCCCCTGGGGCTGATGCTGATGCTTGGCCTGAGATCACATCCTATTGGGCTTCCTTCTCCTCCCACCTCCACTTCTTTCATTTTGGTACCAGCTTCTCTTGGGAACTTTTTTAAAATTTATTTATTTGACAGAGAGACACACAGCAAGAGAGGGAACACAAGCAGGAGGAGTGGGAGAGGGAGAAGCAGGCTTCCTGCTGATCAGGGAGCCCGACGCGGGGCTCGATTCTTGAGAACATTTTCATAATAAATCACTGCAACACTAATCACTTGCCTCAGAGTCTGCACCTGGGGACCCAAACAAAAACAAGGTTGGGACAACTATTTTTTTTAAAGTAATCTCTATGCCTAACGTGGGGCTCGAACTCACAATCCCAAGATCAAGAGTCATGTGCTCTTACCCACTGAGCCAGCCAGGCGCCCTGACAAGGTCCAGACAACTTTTATCTTCATCTTACACACAGAATGGGAAAGTGCAGCTTAGGTGAAGTGACTTGTCCAAAGCCACCCAGTTGTTAGAGGGTGGGGCTGGCAGCAGAACCCAGATTGGTATAAACCAAAACCTCTTTCATAACAAGCTTTACCATTCCTTCTTGTGTTCAGATGGGGAAACTGAGGCCAAGAGAAGGGGAGGAGCTTGCACAAGAAACAGGCCAGTGACAGATGCTGGGTCGTCCTGGCCCAGCCCCCAGCTCCTCCTTGTAGCTGCCCCTCCCCTTCCGCTCTCCCCTGCACGTAATCAGGATATGATCTTCTCTCCCGAGGGCGAAGATGCCGGTGAGGGTCAGGGAAGCCGTGGCACAAGAGGCTGGCTGGGAAATCAGCTTCCCCCCGCTTCTTGAGAAGGGCAGTTCCTCCAGCCCACCCTCTCGCATGGCCCCACTCCGAGCCCTGCAGCATTTCTCAGGGTTTGAGCAGGCCAGCGCTCCTGTCTGGCCCTGGTCAGCTATTTCCAAAACAGTTTGACTCCCACTCTCCCAGGGGTGTTCGAGCTGTTTTAAGCCAGAGAGCCTTTCTTGGAGTAGACATTAATCTCTAAAATGGAAAAAGGGAGTGGAGAAGTCTTAGGGAAGCAGGGATTGGACCTTGAGTCTTGTCTGCTCCCCTGGAACCTTGCTCAGACTCTGAAGACTTGCTCAGTACCCCTTGGGCTCTGGGGAGCACAGCGTGAGAACCATGCACATAGACTCTTACGTGCTTCGGCTTCCTTCTCTGTGAAATGAGGCCATAGTAGTGTGTGGACAGGGCTCAGCACAGAGCAGGTACACAGCAAGGGGTCCATGAATGTCAGCAGTAATGATACTATTCCAGGGGGCTAAAGGGGATCCTCCCAGCTTCACTCTGCTGCCTTCGTGGCCACCAAAACTGGCTTTCCAAAGCACAGGTTTGACCCTGGGTCTCTCCCTTGCTAGATAACTTTCATGGCTCCCCACTGCTCATGTGTGGCTTTGCACCTCCTAAGCCTGGCATTCGAGCCCCCCATGGTCTGCCCCTGCATCCTCTTTGAGCTCAGCAAATGTTTTCTCTGGGCCAGGCACTAAGGACAGTGAGGAGTAAGATAGACACAAGCCTTCATGGTCCTTCACAGGCTGTGAAAGAACAAAGTGACAGAGAGGTGCCCAGATCATTAATGAGAGAGCGCTGACCTTGTTGAGGAGCAGATGCGGATTAGTAAAGTATGCCAGGAAGGAGTCTGTTGGAGCTGAGCTCTGCAGGAAGAACACAAATTAGGCAAAGATGGCAGGAGAAGGGCATCCCAGGCCAAGGGAAGCTTGTGCAAAGAGCTGGAGGTGAGAAGAGGCATGGTGTGTTTGGGCCATGCTACTCAAAGTGCGGTCCGCAGACCAGCACCAGTCCAAGCTACTTGTTACTCATCTGTGATAAAATAATTGCAAAAAGCGAGAGTAGACTTTTATAAACTCTCAGAACCCTTTGACAGAGAAAATTTTTTAAAAGATTTTTATTTATTTATTTGAGAGAGTGAGAGAGAGAGCACAAGCAAGGGGAAGGGGGAGAAGGAAAAGCAGACTCCCCACTGAGCAGGGAGCCTGATGAGGGGCTCAATCCCAGGACCCCGGGATCATGACCTGAGCTGAAGGCAGATGTTTAACCGATTGAGCCACCCTGGCGCCCGACAGAGAAATTTTTGTCTGTTGACTCTAACAGTAAAACCCTGGACTTGTATTTTGCTTGTCTGCTTTTGTTTCATTTTTCTAATCATTCATTTTTATGGCATTTTCCAAAAGTACTGGTTCTTGTTTTTTAAAAATTAGTCTTTCACCACAGATAGGTTGAGAAGCCCTGTGTTAGAGGAACTGACAGGTGGCTAGTGGGGCTGGAGCAGAGAGAGGGCAGGGAGCTATCCTGGGCCACATCCACTCCACTTGCTCTCACCCACAATGCCCTCCTTTCTTCTCTGCCTGAGGGACTCCTACCCATCCCTCAAAGCTCAGCTCTAATATTACCTCCTCCTCTGGGTTCCCACAATCCCTGAGACATCCCTTGGCCCAGCACTAATGACCAACCGTTGGAGTCAGGAGCTGTGTCCCCAGGTGACCGGGGATTCCTCAAGGGTGGGGCCATGTCTAGTTCATGTCCAGAAGGAAAAGGAGTAAAGAGATGAAAAGCATGTACCTGCCACCGACCTCCCCCCAAAAGGGGATCTAGAATCCTCTCCCTCCTACTCAGAGTCATGCAACTAAGGCCAAATCACAGCTGGAGTTCTTAGCTTGAGGGAAAGGGCTGCGGTAGAGACAAGGGGAGGGTACAGCATGGGTGTGCCCTGCTCCCCCTCCTCCACGGGCTTCCCTTAATCTCCTCTCCTGGGGGGCTGCCCAGAAAGAGCCTCCTGCTGAGGGAGGAGGAGCCACATGTAATGGGAGGGGCCTGAGCCCTGTCTCATACTGCCTCTGCCCCCTTCTCCTCTTGGGGTTCTCTGAGTTACCTCTCAGATACCTACCCCTGCAGTATCTTCTCTTCCTCCTACACCACCGCCTGCTGAGTCAGTCCCTCCACTACCCCACTCCAGTCCGATAAGGCTGAGTGAAAACCACCATGGCTGCCATACATTGAAAAGACCTAAGGGACAACGGGCTCCAGGCTGAGAGCTGCCTAGGAACCTGTTCCATGGGTAAGGGAACATAGCAGAGAATTCCTGAGTGCAAATCTTAGTGCTGCCAGTTTCTTGCTGTGAGATCTTAGGCAAGTCACCATCCTTCTCTGGGCCTCAGATTCCTCCACAAGTAAAGCTGGGACCCTAAGTTCCCTTGCCAAAGGATTGTGGCAAGGATTAAATGAGCCAGAAAGTATGAAAAGCTTTTGTGTATCCTCCTGTAAAGTATGCTTACAATTTAGTTATTGCGAGGTGGACTTTGAGCAGAAGTTGGATTTGTTCCTATAACTGATGACTGACCTATGACCTCAGTGCCTGGAGTTTGCAGGGCCCTAGTGAGGCCCCACAGAGACAGTGAGGTCCAGGGACTGACAAGTTAAGAGGCAACTTGGCCTAAAATTCAGCCCTATGCCAACTTTGAGAATTTTGGTATGCATTTAGTTGTTATAAAACTAAAGCCGAAGTTAAATTTAAAGAAGACATTTTTAGGGGTGTCTGGGTAGCTCAGTCAGTTAAGTGTCTGTCTTCAGCTCAGGTCTTGATCTGGGGGTCCTGGGATTGGGCCCCGTGTTGTCAGGCTCCCTGCTCAGTTGGCTGTTCCTCAGGACGTTAAACATAGAATTGGAGGGCCTGGCTGGTTCAATCAGCAGAGTGTACAACTCTTGATCTCGGAGTTGTGAGTTCAAGTCCCACACTGGATGCAGAGATTACTTTAAAAACATTTCAGGGCACCTGGCTGGCTCAGTTGGTAGAGGATCCAACTCCTGATCTCAGGGTTGGGAGTTCAAGCCCCACGTTGGGTGTGGAGCCTACTTTAAAAATTTCAAAAAAAAAAAAAAACCCTTAGGGATGCCTGGGTGGCTCAGTTGGTTAAGTGTCTGCTTTTGGCTCGAGTCATGATCCCGGGGTCCTGGGATAGAGCTCCGCATCGGGCTCCCTGCTCAGTGGGAAGTCTGCTTCTCCTTCTCCCTCTGCCCCCACCCCCCCAACTTGGGCTCTCTCTCTCTCACATAAATAAAGAAAATCTTAAAAAAAAAATAAAGAAAACATTTTTAGCCAAATGTTGAAGACAATTTTTCATGGGTCTCTTGCTTTTCTGCATGTCTTGCAAGCAGAGGCATTGACTGTCTTTGTTCTAGGACATATTTTGTATAGGCAACAGCCCTGGAACACAGAGAGAGTGTTTCCCTCCAGAGTAGGGAAGGCATGCTCAGTGCCCATTGTAAAAAGTTTGGATTCTCTAAGCTTGGGGCTCCACTCCTGAAAAATACCCTAGTATGTGTGCGGGAGCTATGTAGTCTTCACTGCATCACCCCGTGGGAACTGGAGCTGGGAGAATCAGTTCAAGAAAATGTAGATACTCTGGCTGCTGTGAGTAATAAAGTCCTTTGTCTCTGACCCAGGAGGCTTGTGTCTTTTGCCAGCATCCATGAAATTGGCTGCCAACTTGTTAGCTTACAAGTAGGGTAACATCTCAGTCAATTTCACAGTGCGTGATACCAAAAAAGGCAAAACAGATGTTCAGGTGTTTGGAAGAAATTATAAGAGAAAAGGATACTCTCAAAAGACGCCAGAATTATCTAGTCCATTACAGAAAGAAAGGAGACTAAAGGTGGTTTAGAATACAGGCTTTGGATACAGCAGGACGTGGTTCAAATCCCAGCCCCACCAAGCACTGAGTTGGGCGTGTTACGAATGGCACAAAGGTGCCTGGCTCGCTGTGGGGACCGTGATGTAGGCTGCACATGCCTATTCAAGCATGGGTCCTGGGGGTAGACCCTGGCATGGGCCTGTGCTCCCCAAAGGTGGTGCTTCTTTCTGATCTGCCTATGTTGGTGGCTGGGGGGAAGGTAAGCATAAAATACATATAAAAGTATGGTATAGACCCGAGGCTACATGCCATTAGGTGAGAGTTTGGGCCAGTTACCTAACTTCTCCAAACCTCAGTTTTCTTGCCTATAAAATGAGAACAGTGATCCCATATTTCACAGAATCGTTTAAGAATTTAGAGGAAAAAGGGGCACCTGGGTGGCTCAGTCATTAAGCGCCTGCTTTCGGCTCAGGTCATGATCCCAGGGTCCTGGGATCGAGCTTGGCATTGGGCTCCCTGCTCCGCAGGAGGCCTGCTTCTCCCTCTCCCACTCCCCCTGCTTGTGTTCCCTCTCTCGCTGTGTCTCTCTCTGTCAAATAAATAAATAAAATCTTAAAAAAGAAAATAAAAAAAAAAAAAGAATTTAGAGGAACATGTCAAAAGAGCTTAGCACAACATCTGGCATGCAGGTGGTGCTTGAATATGGGACATGTTCTTATTACATTAAAAACAATAAAATGCTACAAAATTTAAAATGTAAAGAACTGTATTCAGGTGCTGACAGATGAACAGGTTTGGGTAAAATACAGAACACTGAACTAGACAATAAAATGTTATATCCGTGTTTGCTTATTTTCCGTCTCCCATACTCTACGGAAGGCATGGACTTCGTCTAGTTCCCTCCAATATCCCCCAAACTAGTGCCTACCTGGCTGGTGGTAGGTGCTCCCTGAACATAAACAAGCCTGCATTTCGCAGATACGCTAGAGCACAGGGTAAGCTAGCCAAAGAATGCCGCCTCCACCACTTACTGGAGAATGGTCTTGAGCAAGAGTGGCTTCCCCTCAGGGAGCCTCTGTTTCCCCACCTGTGAAATGGGATAACAACAGCACCTCCCCAGAGTGTGGGCTTTCCACTGGGAGGACAGCCTGGCACCAGCCCCTGCTAGAATCGCGTCCAGGAGGTGCTCCCTCCCCCCCCCCCCCCCAAAGCCTACCTTGAGGAGCTCGGGTGCCTGCTTCTTGAGCTTCTCCATCTTCCACTCGTTCTCGCAGGGGTTGAGCGAGGAGGGTGGCGCCGTGCAGGAGCAGCGGCAGTCGGTCCCCGAGCTCACCGTCTCCACAGTGTAGTAGTCCTCCACCCGGGCCTGCCCGCTGCGCACTCGGCTGCAAGCGTCCTTGCTCAGCGGCCGCATGATGCACTTGCAGCGACAGTCGGAGCCCTCCGAGGTCATCCGCACCTGCTCCATGTCACCAAACACCTGCAAGAGGGGCTCCGGTGAGCCGAAGGCCAGGGCTGCGGGGAGGAGAGGACCGGAGGAGCCAGAGGGGACAGGTAGCAGAATCCAGTGTCCCTGGCCTTTGTGGGACGGCTACAGGCGGCTGAGGAGCCAGCAGCCCTTTGGAGGAAATAGAGTATAATAGCCTTAAGGTGGTAATACCTGAAAATATTAATGGCCACCTTGAAAAACAGTTTGGCTGTTGCTCAGGACGTTAAACATGGAATTGGGGGGCCTGGCTGGCTCAATCAGTAGAGTGTACAACTCTTTTTTTTTTTTTTTTAAAGATTTTATTTATTTATTTGACAGAGAGATAGAGAGAGAGCACAAGTAGGCAGAGTGGCAGGCAGAGGGACAGGGAGAAGCAGGCTCTCCACTGAGCAGTGAGCCAGACGTGGGGCTCGATCCCAGGACCCCAGGATCATGACCTGAGCAGAAGGCAGTGGCTTAACCGACTGAGCCACCCAGGTGCCCCCCCCTTTTTTTTAAAGATTTTATTTATTTGACAGAGAGAGATACAGCGAGAGAGGGAACACAAGCAGGGGGAGTGGGAGAGGGAGAAGCAGACTCCCCACTGAGCAGGGAGCCCAGTGCGGGGCTCGATCCCAGGACCCTGGGATCATGACCTGAGCTAAAGGCAGACGCTTAACGACTGAGCCACCCAGGCGCCCCGAGTGTACAACTCTTGATCTCGGAGTTGTGAGTTCAAGTCCCACATTGGGTGCAGAGATTACTTTAAAAACATTGCAGGGCACCTGGCTGGCTCAGTTGGTAGAGGATCCAACTCCTGATCTCAGGGTTGGGAGTTCAAGCCCCACGTTGGGTGTGGAGCCTACTCAAAAAATTTCAAAAAAAGTCTTAGGGATGCCTTAGGGTCCTGGGATGGAGCTCCGCATCGGGCTCCCTGCTCAGTGGGGAGTCTGCTTCTCCCTCTCCCTCTGCCCTCCACTTGTGCTCTCTCTCTCTCTCTCAACTAAATAAATAAAATCTTAAAAAAATTTTTTTAAAAACCCATAGAATTACCAATTACCATAGGACCTAATAATTCTATTGCTAGGTAGAATTATTCTCCAAAGATTACTTCTCCAAAGAACCGAAGATAGGTATTCAAACAAAGACTTGTATATGAATATTCACAACAGCACGATTCACGACAGTCTCAAAGTGGAACCAACCCAAACGTCCATCAACTGGTAGATCAACAAAAGTTGGTATCTTCATACAATGGAATATTATTGAGCCCTAAAAAGGAATGGAGTACTGACACCTATACCATGGATGAACCTTGACAACATGATGCTAAGTGATAGAAGCCAGACACAAAAGGCCACATGTTGTATGATTCCATTTATTAATATCCAGAAGAGGCGCATCCACAGACAGATTCGTGGTTGCCAGGACTTGGGAGGCGGAAAATGGGCAGTGACTGTTTCATGGGCACGGGGTTTCCTTTGGGAGCAATGAAAATGTTCTGGAACTTAGTAGTGGTGATGGTTGCACAACACTGTGAATGTACTAAGAGCCACTGGATTGTAAACTTCAAAATGGTTAAAATGGTAAATGTATGGGCACCTGGGTGGCTCAGTTGGTTGGGCGACTGCCTTTGGCTCAGGTCATGATCCCGGAGTCCCGGGATCGAGTCCCGCATCGGGCTCCCTGCTCGGTGGGGAGTCTGCTTCTCCCTCTGACCCTCCCCCCTCTCCTGCTCTCTGTCTCTCATTCTCTCTGTCTCAAATAAATAAATAAATAAAATCTTAAAAAAAAATGGTAAATGTATGTGCAGTTTATCACCATAATAAAAGACATGAATGAAGACCTTTCATTGGACACCTACTACAGCCCAGTTTCCATGGGCATCACACCCTTTCATAATACCTGTGTACGGACGGGCTAGTTACCTCCAGCATCCTTACCGTGGCCTTCAAGGCCTATGTGAGCTGACAGCCTCCCCACAACCCTTTCTCTTGCCACTCTTTCCTTCCTTTGGGTCACTCCACTCCAGCCTCAGGGCCTTTGCAGATGTGGTACCCTCATCCTGAAACCCTTATCCCCGATATTCCCTTGGTTCATTCCGTCATGTTACTTTCCTCTGAGAAGCCTTTCCCAACTACCCACTTCCCCTTCCTCTGTCCCCTTATCTAGTGGCTTTGTTTTTCTTTATTATACCTCTTACCATCTGAAGCATTGTATCTGTGCTTGCTTATTTTTTCCCTTACTCTACTGAAGGAACCATTAGAGACCGGAACTTTGTCTAGTTCTCTCCTATACCACAGACTGGTGCCTGCCTGGCCCATAGTAGATGCTCTGTAAATATCTGTTGGATCACTGAGCCTGCATTTTGCAGACATGCTGGAGCACAGGGCTAAGAACATGGCGTCTGCCACCTGAGTGAGTAGCTGTGAGATGGTGGGCCACTCATCCTTTCCCCGCCACTCCCCGAGCTGTCTCACCCCGCCCACCCTGGGCTCCAGGCTCTTGGGACACAGCTCTTTGTGGCTCCGGCAACAGACACCCCAGGCCTCATGGCTACTCAGCTCTCACTAAAGCCACCAGGACTCAGGTGAGTTCGTGGCTCTGTTGGGCTTTCTGCCAACCCCAACGCCCGCGAGCGTCCCAGAGCCCTCTGGGGAAGGGCCATAGATACTCCATTTCTGTTCTGAGCTGTCAGACACCTGTTTGAGCCTTTGGCCTCTGTCAGACCCTGGTGACAGCTGGAGGTGTAGGAGAAATAGATTGAAGTACATTCCTGAGCTTCTCTGCTAGAGGAGAAGCCAGCAGGATGGGCTCTGTCTGAGAGCACAGAGGAAGACATCCATGCCAACTGCTCAGGGAGGGACCCCTTGGGGGACATCGCTAAGGAGAAGGGCATTCCAGGGTGAGCAAACCAGATATGTAAAGATGAGCAAAGGCCTGGCACTTGGAGAAGGTTCACTCTGGCTGGTGCTTGCGGGACCCTGGGGTGGCAGAGACCAGCTCCTGGAGGACCCTGAAAGCTGGCTGAGGATCTTGGCTTCTTCCTGGGGAGTCATGGAAGGGTTTTAAGCAGGGGAGAGCCAGGGTCAGATCTGCGTTCTGGGAAGCTCACTTGGGAGGCTTTGTGGATAGATGGTGGGTGGAGGAGGCAAGCCGGGGGCACAGAGCCCAGGAGGAGACAGCTACTGAGAACTCACGAAGTGCTGGGGAAGTGTGGGCAGTGGTTAGGCACACAGCCATGGGCCATCTACAGCTGTGTGCCCTTGGGTAGATTACTTAATCTCTCTGTGCCTCAGTTTCCTCATCTGTAAAATGAGGGTACTACTAGTGTCTACCCAACAAAGGACTGTGTGAGGACTGAGAGACAGGATACCAGGAATACGCTCAGTCTAGTGCCAGGAGCCCACAGCGTAGTCTGTACATTGTAGCCGTTATTATTACTAACAATGATCCTGAAAGGGGGTTGTTTATGTGTTCATTTCTCCATGGGGATGCAGTGGTAGATATTCTCAGCAGTGTCCTACAGACGAGACAACGGAGCCCTGGAGCCATCAAATGACTTGTTCAAGGGGATCAGAGCCTGGTGTGGATAGATTTCCAGTCCCCTGGGGGATGAGGAGGTGGGGAAGGAGGAAGCTATGGGTGGAAGCTTTGTCCTGGGCCTTCTGTGGGTGGAGTGTACTCGGGGCACCGCGGGGCAATCTGCCCCTGCCTGTGAACGCGGACAGCCAGCCTAGGGGTCCCACACATTCCTAAGATCTCGGGCAGTGCCTCAAGCCTGCTTTCTCTTCGAGACTCCTGGGCCCCCTTCCCAGCTCTGCTGTGGACCTCTAGTCACCCCCACGCACTCCCCAGCGGGTAGATGCGGTTGTGTTCCGTGTGGCCAGGCCACAGAGGCCTCCTCCTGGGGACCCACTCATCGTCCTGGCGTCCGCCCCCACCAGCAGCAGCCTCCATATCAGACTGCAACATTCCTTCTCTCCTCAGATGAGGTGCTACGTCCTGACGGGGGCAGCCAAGGCCCTGACACGGGCCAGGAGCTGGAAGAGGGCCTCTGCGCCCAGCCCCAGCTGCCAGGAGCCTAGGCGAGGCCCTTCCTCCGGTGATTACTGGAGCCCGTGGTGCTTGATTGGAGGCCGCAAAGCACCGCGGTGGGGAACCAAGCCCAGACTCCAACCCCAGCTCCTCCATTCCCCTGCGTGGCCCTGACCCCTCTGAGTCTCTGCACCCTCCACTGCAAAACGGGGAGGACGACGGTCTTTGCCTCACACGCCCGACCTGAGGCTGAAATGAGTCCACGCGCACAGAGCAGCTGTCACCAAGCCTGGCACAGAGTCACGGCTCTTTAGGTGGTGCTTGCTATCCAGGTGGCCGCCCAACCCTCCCGCAAGCCTCCCTCATGTCGGCGCGGCGTTTTCTACTTCTCTCTCCTCGCGTCACGACCCCGTCTTCAAGGGGAGAAATCTGAGCATCAGCAACACTGGAGGCCTGCCCAGGGTCACGATGAACAGCCTGACTCCAGATTTTGGTTTACTTGCTCTTCCTCCCATGACCACCCGTCCTCACCCGGTGAGGGCTTCTCCAACAGCAGCCGAACTGCGACCGAGAAGCGGGCCCTGGGTTGGGTCCAGGGGGGCAATAGAGGGCCTGGCCCCCTCTGCCCTGGGCACGAGGGCTGTGCCTGCCTCAGGCCTCCCCCCGCACCTCTCTCTACAGCCTCACTCAGCACACACTGCTGCCAAAGACCCCAGAAGTGTGGGTGGTTCGTGGGCTTAAAAAACATCCCTAGGTACTTGCGAGGAAATCCCACAATGAGATGGCAAGAGGGCATACTTGAGATTTTTCTGAAGAAAGATGGATAAGTCTGGCCACAGTGGGGGAGGGGGGTTTCAAGCTGTGAAATGTTCTAGAAATGAGCAGATTCAAATTGTGCCACCTTGGGGTGGAGTCTTCCCTCTTCTCTCCTGGCCAGTCCAGACTTCCTGAAAGCACGTTTCCAGGTCCTCCTGCAGGCAAAGATGTCCCCCAGAGCCCACTGCCAGCTCGACACCTCCCTGGTTGGCACAGGACCCCCACACTGAAGCCATCCAAAACTGGACCCGGCACCGTTTCTCACCTGATGTCTACCTACCCTCCCACCCACCCCAGGTCTCTGAGCCTCCCTTTTTACACCAGACAAGCCATCAGTCATGTTCTTCCAATTCTTTATCCTGAACATCTCCCAGCTCTCTCTCCGACTCTCCATTCCATGACCATAGCCCTGAGTTCAGACCCCATTAACTGCTTCTGGGAACACAGCAGCCTCCTCTCCGCCGGTTTAATCTTCCAAAAGCTCCTCTTTGATGATCTGTGACTGTCTTGGTCCACAAACCTCCATGGCTCTCTGTACCTCCGTGAGTTCTCACTGGGGGATGTGCCTTGGGAATTACCTGGAATGCACTTGGAAAATGCAGACGCGCTGGCCTTAGTCCACACTTCTTAACTCAGACTCTCAGGTACCCCAGGCCATTTGGATGCCCACTGAAAGCTGAGCATCCTGGAACTCCAGGATTCTCCAAACTCCTCCATCTGACTCTTTTGACCTTCAGTGTTCAAGCCTGGTCCTGGGGGGACCAGCAGCAGGGTTGTGTAAGATTCTGGATTTAAGTGCTGGGCATGGGGCTTGGCACACAGGATGTCTCTCAGTACTTTGTTCTAGGTGCCCCAGCCAATGGGAATGTTGGGACAAGCATTTCCCTATAGAGAGACCCTGTGGGGCCTGGCATGGTCCCATGCTCTTTGTGTACAGAAGGACTTCATCACTTGTATTCCCTGTCTGCCCTGAGCCTGTTTTCAATTACACCCACAGGCGGAAACTCCCAGAGCAGAGACGCAGCAACACCTAAGCCCCTGGGACCAGCCTGGCCTAGAACATCCGATGTAGCCTGCGACACGGCTGCCTGCCTGCCTTCAGCCCCCCTGCCTTGGCCTTCCCTCTGTCCTTGGGCCTTGGCCTTCCCTCTGTCCTTGGGCCCCTGGTCAGTGGCGGGGATGACCAAAGACCCCCTTTCCACATCTGGATGCATGGAGGAAGTGAGGCACCTTTCACAGATGGGGAAACTGAGGTAGCAATGGGGAATTCTCAGCCACATTCCAAGGACATAGAGCAGAATGCAGGTTCCCAGAGGTCTCTGGTGCCACGCCTGGGTTTCATGTGGTTACCTGTCTGTCCAACTCCGAGCTGGGCAGCCCCTCAGAGATGCCAGGGAAGCTGTGAACTCCCTCTCCCACTCCCATGCTGGACAAAGCACTTCCCTAGATGAAAACTCCTGTTTAGGAGAGAGAGACCTTGCCATAAACATGAAATGAAAACACGCTGAGTGAGAAGCTGCCCGAGACCACAGAGTTCTGTGGTGAGTACTGGGGTTGAGCTGCCCCTGTACCCCAGAAAGTATGGGGCAGGAGGGGGTACTGGACCTCCCAGGAGCAGGAAGCCTAAGGAGAGGGCCAACTTAACCCTTTAGGGCTCTAAATAGATAGACTTCAAGTCCCAGGCTGGCCCTCGTAGGGCTCTCCCCCTCTCCCTCCCTCAAATCGGACAGGCTTGAAGACGAAGGATGGTTATGGGGGAGGGAGAGGGTGATTATGAAAACAGCTCTCCCCGTAGAGCCAGCAGGAGACCAGCTGTGCTGAGGAATGCGGAGTAAATTCACCCATCACTTGATTTTTATTTTTCCCAGCTGGCTGAAGTGGTGTGGGGTGGGAGGTGTCTGAGGGAGGGCTGTGCTCTGTCCCCCAGCTGCTTCATCCTCCAGGCTCTAGAGTACGCCTCCCTACCCCACCAGCCCCAGCTTGCCCTGGGACAACGAAACACACACACACACACACACACACACAACCTAGCAAGTGTTTGGCTAACTCACTACATAAACAGGGTGTTCAGTTTTCTTTGTCTTTGCTTTGTTTTGAGTGCTAGCCCTCCCCCACAAGCTCTACATGCATGGCTCAGAGGATGCCCAGGACCAAATATTCCTCCCAGCCAGAGAGATGGGAGGGGCAAAGCACTGATCAGGTCATGTGGGGTTTTTGGCTCACTGTTCCCCCACCTGAGCCAGGTCAGGGAATCCAAGAAGGCCCTGCACGGAGAGGAAGTTGGCAGACATTGCTTTTCAGATGGGGAAACTGAAGCCTGGAGGCAGGCAGTGACTTGCTCAAGGTCACACAACCAAAGAGTAACAAAGGGGCGGAACCCAGGTTTTTTGATTCACAAGCTAGCCACGTCTCTATATACTCTAGTTTCCCATCTGTAAAGTAGGGATGATACTCCTTCCCTTCTTGTCTTCGGAGCACATGGTCAGGACTGCAATTCACTTGCTTTCATCCCCTGAGCAGGATCTTCAGGATGAGAGACTGCTGGTGCCCAGTGCTCATACACTTACTGCGTGGCTAGTGGCTTCTGCCCTTTACCTTGCCTCTGGACAGTGCAGCCTCACCTTCTACCCAGGAAAGAGGCTGGAGCGACATCAAGAAAAGTCACTCCATGAAGGAGTGAGCAGGGCCTTACCTTCTTCCCTCATTCATTCCCAGTCCCATCCTTGTCCTAACTGGGTCATTTCCAGAACACCCTCAAGGGGGCCCTGCTCTCACTGGCTCTTTCAGGTTCCCCTAGTAAGATTTTGTAATCACAGCATGATTTATTGGGCACCTACTAGGTACCAGGTGCGGTGCTAAACATTTTACAGGCACGACCTCGAAAAAGATCACCAACTGTAGGAAGTGGGAACTACTGTTATTCCCATAAGTGAGGAAACAGAGACTGGAAGAGGTGAAAGCCCAAGATCACCCAGCTGAGAGGTGGAGGGGGATTTGAACTCAGGTCAGCTTGACAGCGCAGCAGATCCTTTTAGCCACAACTGAGAAGACTTAAGGTCCCTTCTGGAAACACGGTGTCCTCCAGAGGGTGCATTAGATTCCTGGCAGGACTACCAGAGGCCAGGTGAGTGACCAGCCCACTAGGTTCACTCTGGGTCCCCAGCATGGCCGGAAAACCTTGGCTCAGGGTCTGCTGCAAACCTGGGAGTCCCTGGGTAGCAGTTACCCAGGGGTCTGCCCGACGTGGGTCAGCCTCCCATGGAAACTTTGAGCCAGATTTCCAGGCTGCCCTTGCCCAGCGCTCCTGGGAATCCCTAGGCTGGGGACTGCATCTCTTGTCCGCGCCCCTTCCAAACTCCCAGGCTCCCCTCTTCGGGGCCCTGCGTTTCAGTGCCGATCTCCTCCCCGCACTGAACTGGGTCCCAGAGCCCTTTGCTGAGACCCCCAGGTCCCAAGTACTCCCACCATCCCCAGCGCTTCTTCCCCCTCTCCCTGGGTCGTGGCCCAAGTGGCTTCCGTGCTGAGCCCGTCGGGTCTCCCCTCTCCTGGTCCTCCGCTCCTGGCCCCGACACCCTCCTTGGTCCGCACCCCAGCCACAGCGCCCCCTCGCGCCCGGCTCCCCGCGGAGCTGAGCCCCGGTCGCAGGGCCGCGCCGTACCTTACTGTCAGCGCGCACCCGGCCGGCGCGCGGCGGCAGCAGCAGCAGCAGCAGCGGCGGCGACAGCAGGAGCAGGGGCAGCGGCCGGGACAGGAGGGCGGCCGCGGCCATAGCGGGATGGGCGCGGTGGGCACAGACAGCCGCGTGCGGACGCTGGGAAGCGCGGGCGGCACTGCGAGCTCGGTGCGCAGCCAGCAAAGCCCGCGCGGCGCGCCCCCCGCCCCGCGCCCCTCCCGCGCCGCCGGGGGCGGAGCTAGGGTGGAGGGGGCACCCCGCCCCGCCCGGCCCTCTGCGGGGCCGCTTCGCCATCGGGCGGCTCTCCAAGGGGCATCCCTGCGAGGACACCAAAAAGGGTCTTGTTCCGAGTCCCCAGGAGCAGCGGGGCCCATAAGCGGAGCGCGGGGTCCCCACACGGACGGAGGGCTTGCTCTGTGAGATGCTCTGTGGGCTGTCCCTTCACCTCTTTGAGCCTCAGTTTCCTCACTTGTAGAATGGGGGAAATAGTGCTTTCCTTTTGGAGGGGTTGTAAAGTTCAGATGAGTGATGTTTCCAGGGCAGGTGAGCCTTTGAGCTCTCCCAACACCCAGACCCCGCCAGCTCTACCCTTCTCACGGCTCAGACCCCCCCCCCGCATGTTTTTTTTCCTCTTCACTCCAAAATCCCGCCCGGCGACCGCAAACTAAACTCCAGTAGCTCCCGGCGGCGTTTACACACCCTTCCTCCTCCCCATCCTCAGGAGGGAGTGCTTCATTTCTCTGGTTCCTAGGCAGCAAAACTTTCAAAAGGAGACGCCTCCCGTCGTTACTCCTCAGGTTCCCTGCCCATGCCCTCGCTCCATGGCTCTTCGGTGTCACGTGGAGGTGCCTTGTTGAGGTCTTCTGGAGCTCCCGTAATTGCACCCAAGGTGGCACCTCTTTACCCTCCCAGAATCGAGAGCTCTGGATCATGCCTCCTTCTCGACCCCTCTCCTTGGTTTCTTTCGGATTCCCCGTATTATCTCACACTTTGCAGGTCCTTCCACCTCTGCACACCCCAGGGGGGCCAGACGCCCTTCTCTTTCCTCTCCATGCTGACTCCGTAGGTGACCCTCCCCTGAACCCAAGACAGTCCCACCCGTGTGTCTGTTTACCTGCCCTTGTAAACTTCAACTGCTCAGAAAGGAACCTTTAATTGTGCCTCAAATGTCCTACCTTACCACTACTCTCAAGCACTTCCCCCTCATGCATATCCCTTCCCCTGCTCCTTTTCTTCATAGAATTTACCGCCCCATGAAACTTTCTAGTTGGTATGTGTGTTTCCTTGCATCCTTTATGCCTTCCTTTGTGGGAGAGACGTACGTCAACAGTGCACAGACCTTGTGCACGAACAGCTAGCTGAGTAGTCTGGAAGTGTGGTCCCAGGACCAGCAGCCTCAGCATCACCTGGGAACTCAGAAATGCAAATTCTCAGGCCCTACCCCAGATCTCAGGAAGCAGAAACTCTAGGGATGGGGCCCAGCAATCTGTTTTAACAAGCCCTCCAGAGGATTTATAATTTGAGAGCTACTGGGTTAGCACAAGGTCTGGTGCTCCCTAACTCTGAGCTGCAGCAAGTCATGTGCAGCTGGTGTTCAGTACAGATTAGGTTCTTTCATGACCAGAGATCTGGGCACGTGTCAAAACCAGGGCTGGATTAGTATAAAACATGAATATGCTGTGTGTTCTTGGTTTTTGTTTGTTTGTTTGTTTGTTTTAAGATTTTATTTATTTGAGGGGGGGTTGGCAGAAGAGGGAGAAGAATACTCCCCGCTGAGCAGGAAGCCAGATGCAGGGCTTGATCCCAGGACCCTGGGATCCTGACCTGAGCTGGAGGCAGAAGCTTAACCGACTGAGCCACCCAGGTGCCTCTAGTGCATAGACTATCTGTGAATGGACACACTATAAACCAGTATGGTGGTTATTGCTCAGGAGGGAAACCAGTTGTTGGGAATCAGAGTAAGGAGAAAGGTTTACTTTTCATTGAATATGTTTTTTGCATCTGGGAATTTTGTAATGTATGTCCTATCTATTCAAATAATAGACAAAATGTACTTAAAACAAATAGAACCACACAAGGATTCTCTTTCCCAGCCTGGGTCTGGCTCTCTGGCTAGGCTCTGGAAGAAAAAGACCACTGTCACCCCATACTCTGCCCTCTGCTGGCTGTTCCACAAGACGGCCCCATGGTCTCTGCTTTCCTTTTCACCCTTCTCTTCTGCCCCTCAGCAGGCTCCAGTCACAATGGATTCTCTGTTCCCACTTGGCCTTGGGACCTTTGCATATGCTGTTCCTTCCTCCTGAAACTCTCTCTCTGCTCAATCTTACTCACTCCTACTCATTCTTCCCATCTTATTTCAATGTTCCTTATCCCAGAAAGCCTCCTCTGATCATCACCCCCGACAAAAACGAACCCTGCCACATTCCCGAAGCACCAGGACCTTCTAGTTTGTTCTCAATTATAGCACTTACGTGCACTTGTGGGTTTGTGTGGTTATTTGATCTGATTAGTGTCTGTCTCCACTGGGCAAAGCCCCCATGATGGGGCTCAAAGCTGCTTTGTTCTTAAGTGTATCCCTGTTTCGTCCTGTTCCTGTCTGCATCTGGCCTCAGGACCACTCCCCTGAAGATCCCTCCATATCCTTCGATACTTTCCTTTCCAGCTCTTCTGTCAGGAGTCCTGCCGGTGATGGGAGTCTCTTCCATCAGTCTTCCTGAGCCTGTTTCCTCATTTGTAAATTGAGGGGAAGTACTGACTTCTCAGGATGGTTAGGGAGGTGGGGAGCACTGTAGGGAAAAGATCCCATCATAGGTGCCAGACACATGGCAGGGGCCTCCCTCATAGGACTCTGTATGTTTAGGACCGTAGCTGGGGTCTCACCACATTGTCATTTCCCTCACCTTTCTCAGTTTCATGGTAATTGACTCTTCCCAAGGAGCATTTTCAGAGGAGAGGTGAATGGGAATTAGGATAGCTCTTTAACGTAACAAGTCCCATTTATTAGGCCAGGCCTTATATTAATTGCTTTGCATGCATCATGTTAATTCTCATAACAATCCTGTGAAGTAGCGGCTATCATTATTTTCCCTCCCTCCCCTTAGAATCCAGGACTTTGAGGCTCAGAAGTAACATGCCCAAGGTCACAGTTACTAAGTAGTAAGGTCTGATCTGTTTTATTCATCCTTTCACTCACTCAGCAATTATTTATTGAGTGTCTACTATGTTCAGGCTCTGTGCTCAGCAGCTGGGGTTATAATGATGAGGGAGAGAAGAAAGGGATTTGACTATCAGATCTAGAAAAGCTTTTAGGAGGAAGTGGCAACAAAGCCGGAGTCTGAAGGAGGAGGATGAGTTGCTTCTAAGGGCTGAGTATTTGGCGAACTTTTTGGTCCATCTTCGAGAGTCAACTTAGAATCTGTCCACCACTGAAACCCCAGGCCTTCAGGAGGTTTCTGCAGTGCCACTTAACCTCTGACTCAATCTCCAGGGAAGGGGAATTCATTACCTCCAGAGGACTGTGATAGAAAGGGAAGTTTTGAGGGCACCTGGGTGGCTCAGTCGGTTAGGTGTCTGCCTTGGGCTCAGGTCGTGATCCTGGAGTCCTGGGATCGAGCCCCACATTGGATTCCCTGCTCCTCGGGGAGCCTGCTTCTCCCTCTCCCTCTGCCTGCCGCTCCCCCTGCTTGTGCTCTCTCTGTGTCAAATAAATAAATAAAATCTTAAAAAAAAAAAGAGAGAGAGAGAAACAAAGGCAAGTTCTAGAAGGCCTAGGAAAGCCATATGGTCCTGACACGTTTTAGAACCCAGAACTGAGGGTACGACCCAGAGGATCCATCTCCTCTGCCCCCTCCCCCTCACACCACACTAAAGGCTTTCCTCCCCCCATCTGGGGCTGGGGAATGGTGGTAGGGAAGCAATTAGCTCAACAGAGCTGTAAGGGAACACAGACAGGATCTAGATTAGATGTCCCCTGGTGGGAAGTATTTAAAAACATGTCCCTGAGGATATATTTGAACAGGATCTTGAAAGATGAATAGGAGTTTGGGAGTGGGTTGGATGAAGCCAGCAGAGTTCCAGCTTGAAGGAGCCAAGGTTCAGGTTCTGATGTCTGACCCACTCAAACTCACTAGGTTTGGAATCCCCATCACTGCTGGGTGACTTCATCAGTGTATCATAGAAACAATATTGGAGCTACCTCATAGAGCAGGTGTAAGGTTTAGACAACACAGTTTTAATGTAAATCTCTCAGAAAAGTGGCCACTTTTCTGATTAAAGATACAATACAGGTTAACCAATGTTGGTAACAGCCACCTTCAAAGTGCAAGGAAGCGTTGCAAAACATCCTGTGTAGCAGGTGAGGGAAGGGGTGTGATGAGAAACGTGGGCAGGGGTCAGACCAGGCAGGGGTGTGAATGCCAGGATAAGAATTTTTTAAAAATTAAGCAAGGAATGAGATGAGGCAATGGATTGGTAGGGCGGGATTCAGGGGTGGTGAGGAAGGGGCAGTCATGAGGAAGCTGTGGCATGACCCGGCAGAGGAGAGGCGGGCAAAGCACCAGAGTTCTTGTTCTTTGTCTTCAAACAGGCTAGGTAGGGCTTAGTTACACCTGGGGCGGCAGCCAGGGTGAGTCCTTCCCTGAGAGGGTCGCCGAAGGCGGTTCCCCGGGCAGGCCCAGAGGCTGGTGGCCGCGCGCCACCTGGTGGCTGCAGAAGTTAGGCTCAGCCCGGAGCAGGGGAGACCGCAAAATCCGGCATTTTGCTCTGGGAAACTGAAGCGGGGAGCGGGGCGGGGGTAGGGTGGGGTTTGTGATTTTTCGATTGGACTTCGTCCCTATTCTAACCCCATTTTACAGATAGGGTAACCAAGGAGAAGGGAAGGCAAACAAGGTTGGGTAAGGAGTTTCTCAAGCGGAGCGTTTCAAGACACCCGGAGTCAAAAGCCTGAGAATTTCTTTAATGGCATCAATGGCCTGCAGGTTTATTTTCCATTCTGTTGGGCAGGGGAAAATGAAAGAGGAGGAAGAGAAACCGTTGTCTTTCCCGCCCACCCGGAGGTAAAAGGCTTTTAAGAGTACCCCGGAAAGCAGAGTTTTATAGATTCCATTTGCATACGAACGTAGTCACCTGGAGTTAAGCTCCGGCCCTTTAATCTCTGGTCCAATTTGTCCCGAAGCCGCGGAGGAAGTCCCTCGTGAATACCTCC